GGCCAGACAGGCAGCTGAAAGCGAAACAGCTGAAAACTAAGACAGTCAAATCAATCAGATCCTTCTTCCAGATCTCCACTTGAGACAAGACCAAACTCAGCCCCATGTTGCCAGTAGAAGCTGCCTTGGCATTCTCATGGAGCAAAGCATTTCAGCGAATGGACCCAAGTGAAGACTGCTCAACACCTTGCCAGCCACATCCTGTGTGGAAGGACCGTTGCTCTGTAGTAGAGGATCTGGGCCCCAGGTGCAATAAAACAGCATCTCCAGATAGGGCTGGAAAATCCCTGCCTGAAACAGCAGCCAAACACCTGGCAAGGAGACAGCGTGTGGGAAAGGTGGTCTCAGGGGGTCAGTAGGAGCACTGGCAAGCCGAGGAACTGAATAAGAAGGAGTGGACCCAGAGGTGAAATGGCACAGGGCAGGCAGGTGACCTGAAGGCAGGCTGGGTGAAAACCTTTCCATTAAAAATTAAAAGCTTATTTCCCCCAAACTTTGGCTCCATCTGCACTAGACACAGAAAGCAGTATCATCCCACTTTAAGCAGTCACTGCTTCCTGCAAAGAAACACGGGAATTGTAGTTTGCTCAGGGTGGTGAATTCCCACAAGAAGGACTGATTATTAAACCACTCTGGGAATTGTAGCTCTGTGAGGGGAATTGGGGGGGGGGGGTGTCTTCTAACAAGTCAAAAAATTCAGAGAAGTTTGCAGTTTTTTCTTTAATCTCCTCAATTCACCAGCATTTCAGTGCAAATTTCTCCAAAGGTATACATATTTCCATGCACACTTCCGCAAGCAATTCCCCCCAGGCTAATGCATTTTTGTACATTATCTTGACAGACAGACACCCTTTTCCTGCACACTTCCCCCTAAGACCCACATTTTTCTACATATCCATCGGTCGGATACCTGCATCGCAACATTCGTCTCGGTGCAGATTTCAAAGGATAGCTAGCTGTGTGAATTAGGAAGTGTGAATATGCCAGCTTTGCATTAAAATTCAAAGTGAAGCCAGTATCTACCCTGTCCTCAACTCAAGGCGCAGTGGGGGGTGGGGGCAGCGAGTGGAGGAGGGCAGTAGTCCCTGTGCATGTCCCTAGCTTTGATTTCTTCCTACATCTGCCAACCTGAACGGCAGCACTAAGCATATAACCTAAAATGTTGCCTGTTACTGCAGAGAGCATCTCTGCCTGCCTGCCTGCCTGAAGCGCTCTCTGCAAACCCTCTCTGTTGTGGCATCGTATCCTCTGCACTGTTTCGCAGCCTCTGTGCTTTGACAAAGCCTCTTTGCGCTTCCCGCAAAGCTGGGGGGAGGCTTAAGGGGGGGCCTGGAGGCGGCTGACTCCAAAGCCGGTGGCAGGAGCCGAAGCAGGCAGGCAGAGACTCTTGGGATGGCATCTCCCTTGCCTGCAGAGAAAGTCCTAGGGCAGAACTGCCAGCTTCCCAGCTCACCTTTCCCGTCTCAGATGCCACCCAGGAGCAGAAATGTGGTGCTGAGGGCACTGCGGAGAGCCGGTTGGTAGGACTTGGCACCAGCCGGGGAAGGAAACGAAACCGGGCAGCCTTTTCTTGTCTCTCCTTTCAAGGACATGTGCAGGTACAATAGCAGGACTCGGACCGGGACTGGGTTCCTGATTGCCTTTGAAATGCCTTGCTGACTTTTGTTTTAGAGGCTGGCCAGTTATGGGAGAAAGAGTCTTCATATACTGGGGCTGTTAACTTGGGGGTAAAACCCCGTAGAACTCAGCCAAATTGTCTTCTTATGCAGAGAGAGGGTTGGGCTGCTGATCAGCTTGGTCCTTTTCCTGCTTTTAAAAAAAAGTTGATTTCTTTAAAAGTCACTTATTTCCAATTTCACTTACATGATAGCAAGAGCATGCTAGCCTTCTATTTATATATGCGAAGTAGATAGCTAAGCGTCCTTTGTTTTGCTAATATTTCTGTACTGTATATAAACGGTAGAATTCCTACTCTCAATGTATTTAAAACTATCGACAGAAAACCGTCTCATTTTACTTTATCATTGACTCCTTTTCTCATTTCTCACCCCTTTCTTCCCTAGTATAGCTGTTGCAGCCCCCATTCTCTAAATAAGTATGACGGCTCATATTTTTATTAGACTTGGGTTATATCAAACTGTCCACTCTGATTATTGATACCATCCATTTATTATATAGGTGATTTAGTGTGACATGTGATGCTGTAGATTCTTATTTTTTCTAATTCGAAAGGGGGGGGGAGCGTTGTTGGTGAGGAGGCATACATTTAACCACATTTAAAGCATGTTCCCCTCCTCCAAGAATCCAAGGAACTGTAGTTTGTTAAGGACGATGGTAACTGTAGCTGTGTGTGTGTGTGTTTTGTGTGTGTGTGCTTTAAATGCTTGGTGTCTATGCAGCCTTAGTTGACCATTAGGAAGAACTTCCTGGCAATAAGAGCTGTTGGACAGTGGCGCAAACTCCCTCAGATGGACTGTCATTGGAAGTTTTGATTGATGGAGCCATGAGTATGCACTCAGATTTAAATTGACATTTACTGGGATTTTTATGTTCGCTTACTGGAATTTTAGAACTGAGCTCAGTACGTCATTTTATTGATTCAGACGCAGTAAGCGCAGAGTTCTCAAAACTGGCTCTGCTTCAAGGATTGACTGCTTGGTTCCTAAGGCTGCAGTCCTATGCCTGCTCAGCTGGGGATTCAGTCCCATTGAAATTCATGGTTCACCTGAGTAGACCTGTGCAGAATCACATTAGAGGCTGTCATGTGTCTACCGTGAGGGCAGAACCAGGGAAAGGAAGGGGAGGCAGGAATCGGGGCCTGAATGGGGCCATAGGACATTTTAAATTAAAGCAGGGGTGGCAGACTTATTTCAGCCCAAGTGGGTGAGTCTCATGCCAGAGTCAGTAGGCTGGTTTCTACACACACACACACACACACACACACACACACACACACAAAATCTCTTTCCTCTGTTCAGACCAGCAGGAGACATATAATACTGGGTGACCTTGAGCCAGCCATAGTCCCTCAGCCTAACCTACCTCGTAGGGTTGCTGTGAGGATAAAATGAGGAAGAAGAGAAGAAGGGGCCTTGGGCTCCTTGGAAGAAAAGTGGAGTTTAAATGCGATAAAAAATAAATAAACAAATTACCAGAGTTCAGGGATAGTTAAGGAGGGTGCGAAGCAGGGTGGGTGGAGGGGGTGGCAAGGGAGGTGGTGTAGCCTGGTATGCTGCCGTGTGATTGGCTGCCACCCACCTGTCAAATTTGGCCCCACAAGGCAGATCCTCATAAGGATTTGGCCTGTGGAGCCAAAAAGGTCCCCCACCCCACTGTTGAACTTGTGGCAGTACTCCATACCTGACTGCTATGAAAGACACAGGCCCCAATCCCCCTCTCCTTGCCCTTTGTTGTGCCTGGCTCCTAGCCCCATGACGGACTGAGCATCTGAAATGCCTCAGGTGCATCCAGCAAGTTCACTAGGGGGGTGAAGACTATACTGCTAGCTAGACAAGTAACTCTCCCTTGCCAGATCAGGACATGTTAATTAAGAGACATCTTAATTAAGAACCTATTTTTCCCTGGATTCGCAAAGGGTGTGTGTGTGTGCGTTTGTGCGCGTGTATGTGTACGTCAGCCAACACCCACACATAACCTGTTGTTCCCATCTGTGAACAACGATGGAGCTTGTGAATAATTACGGATGCCATCATGTTGAGCAGAAGGGAAGATGGAATTGGCAGGATGGCGCGCATTCAAAAGATGCCCTCATCTTCATTACCTTGCTGATTTTAGATATACATAGGTAGGCGGGTCATCCATTTGCCCTCCCTAACTTCCAGATACAGCCTTCCCTGCCAAACCTATCATCCAAATAAACAATGTCATTGGTTGGGAATTGTCTATCAGCCCCATTCCATAATAATCCAGCAAACTTTCTCTCCCTCTCTCACACACACAAACACACACACAAACACACTACTATGTTTCTTTCTGCTAGAATAAGAACCTGCTGGACCAAGTCAGTGACCCGTCTAGTCCAGCATCCCATTCTCACAGTGGCCAACCAGACCGTGTCGGCTGTGAGTCCTGGAAAACCTGCTCCCTGCCTTGCAGGCCTTTCGCCTGGTCTGCGGAGGTGGGGTCCTGACTGACTCCAACTACAAAAGCTGTTCAATAGTGAAATGGACTACCTGAGAAGTGGGTGGACTCTTGGCAGTTTTACGCAGAGGTTGGATGGCCACCTGTCGGGGATTCTTTAGCTGTGATTCTCACATTGCAGGGGCTTGAGTTACATGACCCTGGGGGTCCTTTCCAACTCTACAGAACTATGATTCTAGGACTTTTGTACTGCCCCTGGAATATTATATCCTGGACATTTGGATAACCCATATGGACCGATGAGATTCATTCATGTTAATATACAACCCAATACGTGTTATGGGGGTGGTGGGATGCCATGTTATGTTATTTGTGTATAACATATAGATTAGATAGATAGATAGATGATAGGTAGATAGATGATAGATAGATAGATAGATGATAGATAGATAGATAGATAGATAGATAAAGGTAAAGGGACCCCTGACCATTAGGTCCAGTCGTGGCTGACTCTGGGGTTGTGGCGCTCATCTCGCTTTATTGGCCGAGGGAGCTAGCGTACAGCTTCCGAGTCATGTGGCCAGCATGACTAAGCCACTTCTGGCGGACCAGAGCAGTGCACGGAAACACCGTTTACCTTCCTGCCGGAGCGGTACCTATTTATCTACTTGCACTTGACGTGCTTTCGAACTGCTAGGTTGGCAGGAGCAGGGACCGAGCAATGGGAGCTCACCCCGACGTGGGGATTCGAACCACCGACCTTCTGATTGGCAAGTCCTAGGTTCTGTGGTTTAACCCATAGCGCCACCCGCATCCCCAGATAGATAGAGCAAATAAATTAAATAATAATAATAATAATAATAATAATAAATGATGATGATGATGATTTTCTTCAGGTAATGACAGACAGAGAACACCTGATGAATCACCCACAAAGATGCCACGTTGTGGATGAGAACATCTCTGCATCTGTGGTTTGCCCAAAGGGCTGGGTGGAGCCAACCTTCACACTCGCTGCCAAAGCTCGAGTTGTCATCACAGGCTGCTTCTTCATCATTGCAGCATGCAGCAACCTTGCTGTCTTGTACAGCGTCACGAGGAAGAGACGGAAGTCCCACGTCCAGCTGCTCATCCTGAGCTTGACAGTGGCCGACTTGCTGGTCACAATGACCGTCATGCCCCTGGACGCTGTATGGAACATCACGGTCCAGTGGTACGCTGGCGATGCCCTGTGCAGGTTCCTGAACTTCCTCAAGCTCTTTGCCATGTACTCGGCCGCCCTGGTGCTGGTGGTGATCAGCTTGGACCGGCACTCTGCCATCCTGCACCCCTTTTCGTTTGCTAACTCCAGCCGCCGCAACCGGATCATGCTCTCTGTCGCGTGGATCCTCAGCATCCTGCTGGCCGCTCCCCAGGTACGAATCCGTTAGGACAGAAGGCTCGTTTAGGGAGGTGCACATATTGTAAGGTAAAGGTAACGGGACCCTTGACCATTAGGTCCAGCCGCGGATGACTCTGGGGTTGCGGCGCTCATCTTGCTTTACTGGACGAGGGAGCCGGCGTACAGTTTCCGGGTCATGTGGCCAGCATGACTAAGCCGCTTCTGGCGAACCAGAGCAGTACATGGAAACGCCATTTACCTTCCCGCCAGAGTGGTACCTATTTATCTACTTGCACTTTGACCTGCTTTTGAACTGATAGGTGGGCAGGAGCTGGGACCGAGCAACGGGAGCTCACCCCATCACAGGGATTCAAACCGCTGACCTTCTGAATGGCAAGCCCTAGGCTCTGCGGTTTAGACCACAGCGCCACCCGTGTCTCGCACATATTGTACATAGCCACAAAACAGTAATGGAATACAATGAGAAATACAAAACCAAACAATAACAAGCATCTCCCTCCCTCCCCACAATGCCAGAACCCAAATAAGAGATTGCATACATTCCGGTGCATCGCCACAGTTGCCTATTTAATTCACTTCCCATGTCATTCTTGCAGGGACCTTACAGAGTATTTTGTCAGGGCAATGTCACTATTTTCATTGGCCAGGATAATGAAGGACAACATTCAGAGCAGAAATATAATCGCGACACCCGAAAGATATCAGGCTTGTTCATGCACTGCGCAGAACACAAGTACAAGCTCTCTGTACACGTGTACAAGCGTTTGTGCGACAGAGCGTACACTTATTGATTTTTCAATTTTTCATCTCTGTTAGTGTGTACGCAGGTACACAGATTGCACACTGAGTGCACAGCTCAAGGATTTGTGTAGAGAGGTACACACAGAGATTGTGCACTTGTAGAACATAATGTGTGAACACTCCATAAAAGCAGCCTCATGGGGAACAGCTTCCTTAGATACATGATTTCTGAATCATGCAGTGTTTGAGCATGAAGGCTGAAACGGAGAATGCTGGCATTTATAATGTCATTATTACTAATTTCATCCTTCTGACCTTTTCCCATCCTGCATTTATTTGGGGGCGGGGAGGGAGAAGCAGGGAAACTGATGCCTTGTTTTACGGTGGGTTATTTTAGCTGCCTAAATGTATTTGTGTGTGTGTGTGTCATTATGCAGTATTTAAAAGCCTTTATGTATTTCAAATCTCAGAGTATTTCAAATCTCAGAGTGCTGCATATATGTACATAAATAACAATGCATTGATAATTAATATAATAACAAACCAATATATGTGTGTAAATTAAGTGTGTATACTATTAGACTGTTTTACTTTTCCATTTCAGCTCTTCCTTTTCCACCTGTACACCATCCCGGGCGTCAATTTCACCCAGTGTGTGACGCATGGGAGTTTCAGAGAGCACTGGCAGGAGACCACCTACAACATGTTCACTTTCACCACCCTCTATGTCACCCCGCTGACCGTGATGGTTGTCTGTTATGTCCGCATCTTATTTGAGATCAGCAAGCAGCTGAAAATTAACAAAGGTGAGTTGGCCTCCCCTCAACTGCATTGGGTGGGAACAATGAGATGCCCTTCGGCATTGTGTTTTTCCAGTTTCTCGAAAAGTTTCTCTTCTCCTGAAAAACAGCCTTCCATTTTTCTGCCTTGTTCTCAGGGTTTGTCACTGACCTTATTACTACGAAATGGCTGAGGATTGTGCCTGTATTACTACTACTACTATTACTTCTTCCCCTGCCCCCTATTATTACTATTACCCCCCGTGATTTATTAATCGCTTTCTGAGCAATTGTCTCAAGGCGGTTTGCACATATTTAAATGCAGTTAAAAACACAAACACAGCAAATACATTTATAACAACAGTAAACCCTAACAAGGTAGACACTTGAAGACCCATTTCTCCAATGGGAAAAGCTCTATGGGCCCCTCCAGATAGTCTTTATTGCAAATTCATGATGATTTGTGCTCATGTTGGTGTTGGGGGAGTTATATACAACCGTACTTCCGATACTGTTTGCACCTGAAAAAGTTTCAGCTTTGTTTCCAATCAGGGCACACCTCATAACTTCCTGCAGAAAACCTGAAACTTTTCATGCCACGAATGTTCTGGTTTAATGAATTTTTTTGTCCCACTTTTGGTGAGCTATAGCGCAGGATGGCAATAATATGGTAATGTTGGGGAAGCGTCACACAGCAACTAATAAAGCAGATTGGTGTGTGGATTGTCCAGTATAAACCCACCATTAATGCACTAGTATTGCCTTGATGACATGTTACAGGAATAGGGTTGCCAGACCTCTGGGACTAACCTCAACTCAGGTTTGCCTGGCCCCCTCCAGGGAGGGCGTGAATATCCAGGTGACTGGGAGTGCCTTTAGTTTTATTCTTAAGACTATGTCTGCATCTTGTAAGCTTCAGTCCAGCAGGAGCAGCCCGGAAAGTATTGCACAACTACCTGGAGGGATCTGCCCGCCTCCTCTCCTTCCGCCCCTCTCCCAATTAACCTCCATTTCCAGAGTTCAGTGGCGGAAGGGAGCACAGAGGAAGAATCACCAGGGGCTGCCCCTGAAGCTCAGGTTTGGCCCCTGTAATTTCAGGGTCTGGGATGCTCCCGGCCTGGCAACCCTATACAGTAGTGGTTTTTAACCAGTGTGCTGTGGCACCCTGGGGTGCTTTGAATGATGGTCAGGGGTGCCGCAGGCAACCCTGGCCTCTGTCCTTCTTTCCTTCCCTCCCTCCTCTGATGCCCGCATGCATCTCTGCCTCCCAAAGGCTTGTGTAGCTGTTTGTTACAACAGCCCTGGCTACAAGCTCCCCAGGTGAATGGTGCCTGTGGGGCTGGACCAGGGGCTTCACCTTTGGTTAGTCTCCGTCAGGCTGCTAAAGCTAGGGGCATCCTCTTCCTAGGGCCCTGTGGGGTGGCGGCTCAGAGACCAGGGGCAGTGGTGGCAGCTGCCGGGAGGACTCCCAAGGAGAGGAGACGAGACTGAGGGAACACTCCACAAGGGAGGGTGTTCGAAAAGGGGTGAGGGACTGCTGGCTCTGCAGGTGAGGAGTAGGGTTGCCATATTTCAAAAAGTAAAATTCCTGACACCCACAAAGTTGGGTTTTTTTACATCGCATTGCAATACATCCGGGTTTTCCCTGACATTTTGCCGATTCAGCAAAATTCCCCCGACGCCATTTTTACACCCGAAAACCAGGACATGTCAGGAATTTTCCTGACGTATGGCAAGCCTAGCAAGGGGTGACATAAGTGGGCTTCTGAGGCTCAGAGCGTGTTTCCCCACAGGGGAGCCGCAGAAAGAATGTAGTTGGTCAAGGGAGCCATGGACTCAAAAAGGTTGAAAACCTCTGCTATACAGAATACAACTGCAAAGCAACAACGCCATCATCACCTGTCCAGAGGGGCCCTGTCTAGTTTTTATCTGCCCCACCTGCTCTTGGATTACTCCAGCCCAGAGTGAGGCCTACATTTCATTCAAAAGAGGGCAACCTTTTGTCCCACAACTGACTCCTTTGAGCCTCTCCCACAGGTCTCGCCAGAGGGAAGGACGACCACATCTCCAAGGCCAGAATGAAGACACTCCGAATGACGGTTGTGATTGTGGCTTCTTTCATCGTTTGCTGGACCCCTTATTACCTCTTGGGCTTGTGGTACTGGTTCCAGCCTGACATGATCCGCAGAATGCCGGAGTACATCAACCACTTCCTCTTCCTCTTCGGCCTGCTGCACACTTGTACGGATCCCATCGTCTACGGCCTTTACACCCCGTCCTTTCGAGAGGACATGAAACTGTGCATCAGGAACCTGAAAGCGACGGTGGCCCACCAGGAGAAAAAACTTGCATCTGTTTCAGAGATGAACCATAAAGACTCTCATGACCAGGGTCAGGTGCCGTCAAGTGTTTCCAACGGAGGGACTATGCACACTGTGTTCTAGAGGGGAAACCCCTCTGGGAGGGATGAAACTCAGGGCAAGCTCACTTATGCAGGCAGAACACCTGAATTGCTACACCTGTCTTAACTGTGCACTTGAGGACTAAATGTCTGGACCAACTCTCTTAAGCTGCACTAGGTTTAAGGTGATCTAGGGATATAGGAGGGTGCCTGATCCCAAGTCACACACTTGGTGAATCCAGCACAGTATCGTCCGCATTTACCAGCAGCAGCTCTCCAATATTTCAGGCAGGGATTGTTGCCAACTGTGCCTGGAGATGACTGCGACTGGAACCCGGGGCTGTCTGGATGCAAAGCAGATGCTCTGCCACTGAGATAATGGGTCGAACAGTTCCTGCACACGCAAGTCACCAGTTTATGCCACAGGCATCAAGCGATGGACAGGCATGTATGAAGCAGGCCCCAGCAAACACTGAGTGGGGCATTCAGATTCTAAAACCCCATTTGTACCGAGATCTCAGCATAAATGGAAGTTAAGATGTCAAGCTGTTGTTAAACATTTGGGAGTGAGGAGGGTCGAATTCTGTCCCACAATCATCCTGAACAAAATGCAGCCACTTGAGACTCAACACATTGTGCAATGTCAATTTTTAAAGCTGTATTAGGCCAATTGGATACCTTTTCAGAAATTATATTATGCTTTATTGGGGTAGCATGATTTTTGTTCTAGTAGCAGTTTTATTATTACTATTAACCGTTATTGGCTCTGTGACCATATAATAAAATCTGTTGTATTATTATTATTATTATTATTGCTGCCTGGATGAAGGATGGGCAAGTGGGTGCATCCAGAAACCTCTGCCTTTGGCATGGCTGGAATGTACCCAACTGTCCCAGGGTTAAGAGGCAAATGTGTTGGCCTGCCCACTCTTCCCTCTGCCCCCACCCACCACTAGCATATACCCAGCCCACTCCCTGGGAGTTGGATGAACAGTTCCTTGGAGCTTAGTGTCTCAGGGCAGCCCTCTCCCCACCCTCAAAATAGGAGCGTCATGACTTACCACGCATATGTTGCAGTTCTAATGTTCAAAGTGCATGAGAGTCTTTATTGCAATTGCTTGCGAGGTAGGCCGCCACAATTCCCATTTTATCAATGGAGGGCTGGTGTTGACAAGTGATTTGCCCAAAGGCCTGTGGAGAAGAGGGGACTCAAACCAACTGCCCTCGGTGTGTGATTTGTAAAGCGGCTGCTACGCAGAATAAAACCAGGAAGGCAAATGCAAAATTCACCCAGAAGGTCTGTTTTGCAAAGTCCAAACCGAAAGAAGTCCATTTACTTATTTTTCCATCTTCGCAACTTGAGCCACCCTCTGCCTCTTACGGGTGTTACCATCCTGAGCTGCAGTGGAGATGATCTTGCCATTTGCAATATCTCTTCCAGTGCTCAGCCGGCGTGTGGTTTTTCCTACAGTCAGATCACAGGTGGAAACCCTGAGTTCCTGCATGGGCTCTTAAGACTCTCAGCAGCTCCCCAGCAGGGCGAATGGTCAGGGGTGATAGGAGCTGGAACCCCATAACATCTGGAGGGCCCCAGGGTCCCGTCCCCCTGAGCCAAGTGATCAGATTGTTGCTCCGAGAGCCACCTGTGTGAGGGCAGACGCTGCTCCACACTGTTGCCTTGCTTTGGGGAAAAGGGGACTGTCTGGAGAGAGATGGTTCTCCCCCTTTGAGGAAGGTGTTCCCGCAAGATAAGCCCCAACCAGCTGAAAGGAGGGCGGCGGCAGGCTGGTCACAGAGAGAAGCAAGAGAAAGAGGAACAGGGAGAAGCACAAAGGAAGGGGCAGCCCAGCAGCTGAGGAGAAGCAACAGGATGCAGACGGCATGCCTTTGCTCTCAGACTGGGAACGTGTTTCTGACTTGGGCATTTGGCAGGCGAATGCTGGAGTGGAAATCATGTTTCAAGGGACACAGGGTCTCTTGTCTTCTTTCTCACACCCAGAGTTGCGCTCATTCCTACTTGCATGCTTCTCAGGGGTATCTGGGTGAACACTGCAAGAACAGGCAGCTGGGCTAGTTGGGCCTCCTCTGACAAGGCTCTTATGTTGTCTTGGGCCAAATCAGGACACAGGAAGGTGCCTTAGGTGTGTCAGACTATGAGTCCGTCTAGCTAGGGATTGCCTCTGAGCATCAATTTCTGGCAATCACAAGTCAGGCAGGAAAGTGCACATGGTCCTGCTTCTAAACTTTTCATTGCGGCATACAGGTGGCCACTGTAAGAAGGGCTGCTGGGCAAAAGGGCATCTGGTCTGACTCTGACCCAGCTCTTCTGTCATTCATATGGTATTATGGGGGGGGGGGAGGAGACAGAGAATTCAGGAAATTTATTTCCAATGCCCAAATCAGAAAAGAGTGCAAGGGGGAGATTTGAGATGAAGAACATCACACTTACTTGCACTGGGCACTGAAGCTCTTGCTAGTGATTGCAGACATGGGACCCCACCCCCACCCTTAAGTCTTGCCAGTCCCTGTTCTGCAGGATTTCTGCACTTCCTGTCACCTGCATCGTCCTGCTCCATCTTTAAGCTAAGGAGGGTCCACCTACCTGACTCGTGTTCAGAGAAGCAAGGCAAAACCAGAGAGATATGAAATAGCTGTGCCAGGAAAGTTAAGGCAGCTGAAACATCCTACCCCAGCCCCCAGAGGGCCCCCCCAGCTTCAGAGTGGAAAGTTTCATGAAGGCTTTAGATTGCTCAATATTAAGGCATATGGTGAGGGTCGGCAGCCCTGTCCCATCCCCACAAGTTCATTGTTTTAAGTCAAAAATCCTGTTCCAATAGTAGAGGAAAGCTGGGGAGTTGCTAGCCCCGATGGCAACCAGCAGCAGCAGATACAGGCTCATCATGATAGCGAAGCGATGCTTAGAGACCCACGACTGGCTAGCAGGCCTAGAGAGAAAAAAGAGACAGCGATAACTACATCCAGCCACAAGGAGGCGCAACTTTTCAAAGCCCCTACCCCCCGCAATGTGATTATATGCCCAGGCCAAAGCTTTGCTGCTGGTTTAGATATGGCCGCAATGGCTCTTTTAAAACATAGAATTGTAGAGTTGGAAGCGACCCTGAGGATCATCCAGTCCAACCCCCTGCAATGCAGGAATTCTGCTCACAGCTGTCCCTGGATGGGCTTGAACCGCCAACCTTCTGGTTAACAGCCAGACACACTGGTCCATTGGGCACATACTGTGTGTTTTCAATGTGTGCATTTTTAATGTATTTTCATATGGCTGATTTTGAAAGCTGTTTTATTGTCTTTTGAATACTTTTCTCATTTTGGTTGCCCGTGCTGAAGACCACTGGCAAAATATATATGTGTCAAAAGACTACTATGTGTACAATGTGTGTGTGTTCAGGATTCTGCATATGCATTTTTGCAAAAGTTAACAAAAAGATAAATTGAACTTCTGCAACCACAGCAGCGAACTGTGTTTTTTTTTTTTTGCGTTTGTGCAGAAGTCTTCTGAGCGATGCCAACACTGCAAAACAACTTGTTTTGCACACTCATCCCTTACAGTCCTGTCCGTCATGTTAGAGGTTTTCCTGCATTTTTGAAGCACAAGGTTTCAGATGAACTTACAAAGCACTTGCTTTCAGGGTATTTGGGGGCGAGGAGGGTGGCAGAAGGGCACTTACCTCCGGTGCTGCTTCTGCGAATAGACGAGCAAGTACTTCACCCGTATCAGCTGATTGTTCGTGACGACAAAGTATTTCTGGGGAACATCACCCCCTTCGCTGTTCCTCACTCTGGCTCTTTTCTTGTCTATTTCTTTAGAATCTGGTCAAAATGAGCAGAAGAGGGCCTCTTAGACAAGGAGGTGAAAGACACAAGCGCACTGGAGGTCTCGGGGTAAAAGGATCAGTTCCTGACACCAGCACAGGTCTTGCCACGTGCCCCATGAATTGCTGTGTCTGTTTTCTGAGTAAAGTGCAGGCATCTCAAAGGAACACAGGAAGATCCCTGATACCGAGTTGAACCACTGGCCCATCTAGCTCACTACTGTCTACTCTGACTGGCAGCAGCTCTCCAGGGGTTTGAAGCAGGGCATCTCTCACAGCCCTACCTGGAGATGCTGTCAGGAATTGAACCTAGACCATTTGCATGCAAAGGGCTCAAGAAACAGATTTTGGAGTGACCATTTTCTCTCTCTTGGAGAGTCACTACCTCACAGGAGGCTATAAAGGGCTAGATCAGGGTGGACCTCACTCTAACGTCACATGGCCTTCCGTGCAATTTCAAAAGCCAGCAGTTCAGAGCTTATCTGATCCTCTTGCCTACTGGACAGGGAAGGAGAGAAGGGCATGTCAGAAAAAGCTAGAGAAAAAGGGGGCGGTGGCCTGCTTCCTTTTGACTCTGGCCCCTCCCACTGCTGGCTTTTGACTCTGGCTCCTCCCACCTCCAGCAGGTGTTCCTGCAAGGCTCTCGAGAGACAAAATGTTGCCCAGCCAAGCTAGATGGACCAATGATCTGATCACACGTGAGGCTGCTTCAGCCCTGTCTTCCCCAACTGGGTGCCCTCCAGACTGTAGAGTTGGAAGGGACCCTGAGGATTGTCTAGCTCAGCAGTTCTAAACCTGTGGGTCCCCAGATGTTGTTGAACTACAACTCCCATCATCCCTGAGCTCTGGCCTTGCTAGCTAGGGGTGATGGGACTTGTAGTTCAACAACAACTGGGGACCCACAGGTTGAGAAAGGCTGGTCTAGTCCAACCCCCTGCATTGCAGGAATATGCAGCTGTCTGTCCCATATGGGGATCGAACCTGCAGTCTTGGTGTTATCAGCCCCACACTCTTAACCAATTGAGCTATCCATCCAGTACCAGATGTTGTAGCCTACAACTCCCATCAGCACCTGCCAATACAGCTGAACCGAGGATGGGGTTGATGAGAGCACGGCTCTGCTGGCTGGGGGATGATGGGAGCTGTGGGCCTAAGCAGCTGCGTCGAGTCAAGTCTTTTCTAGACTCACCTTTCTTTTTCACCTGGCATTTTACATCTGGGTGATCGATGATCTCACACACGGCAACACAGCTGAGGATCGGTCCCATCAGGCTCTGCTGCCAGCCGAGGCCATGGGGGCTATAGAGGAGAGCGAGGCTCAGGTCACTGGTGAGGTAGGTGCCTTCCCCAAATAAGGAGGTCTAGAAAAAGCAGGACGGGGTTGCACATGAACTGGGCTGCAAGCTGGCAGCCAGCCATTTCAAACATATCCAATCACAGCAAATCTGTCTCATTCCTAGAAGCGTTTTAGGAAGCTGATTTAGACCTAGTTCAGTCTGAACTGACTGGCGGCGGCTTTCGGACCAAGCTAAGCAGCCTAGAGCAAAATATACATCAGGAGGCTTAGTATGGCCAGAATCAAGTATACACTTCCAGAGCTAACACTAAATACATTACAGTGGAACCTTGGTTGTTGAATGCTTCAGAAGCCGAACAATACAGAACCCGAATGCCGACAACCTGGAAGTGAATGCTGAGGTTTTCAAACGGGCCTCGGAAGTCCTCGCCTACCCATGTGCTATCTGAAACCAGCACTGGTTGCTAGATGTGAAATATATTCAATTCTGAAATACAATCCAGACTCAAACCTTACCCGGTTTAAATGGCACTGTAACCCATTGTGCACGATGGAGTGGAAGTTCTCCAGCCGGCTCCCATGGAATGCATAGATGAGGTCTCGTCCCGCCTTGGTCTCTTCAAATTTGGCGTTCATTTGACTGGAATAAGTGATTTCAAACAGGAAGTCTGGTGCAGGGACAGGGACGCAGGGCACTCCTGTCAGTTCCTGGATCTTCTTATACTTCAGTGCCAATAAAATATATTGAAGTTACTGGGTTGCTTTGAGAATCCAGCGCCCTCTAGATATTTTGGACTACAACTCTCACCAGCCCCCGGGCTAATGCAAGTTGTGGTCTGAAACACCTGGCAGACCCCAGGTTGGCAAAAGCTGATTTAAAGGCAGAAATCATCCCCATGGGAAGCAAAATAGTATCTTTAAGAAACATAGGAAGCTGTCTTCCCCTGGCCCATCTAGGTCAGCACTGTCTGCATAGACTAGCAGCAGCTGCCCAGGATTCCAGGCACGGGTCTTTCCTGGAGAAGATAGGGATTGAACCTGCAAAGCAGGCATGCCACCACTGAGTTAAGACTCTTCCCCCAAGTCTTGGGACTCCGCTTAACAAGACACCCCAGTAATACTGCAAGCAGTGGGCTGCCCCAGCTCTTCCCTGGCCCATGCTGAAGCCAGCAGGAGGCTGTGCATTTTTAAAAGGCATTCAGTAACCTCTGAGATTTCAGTGTCTCCTCTGCTGGGCTTTTGGCTCACTGATGCTCAGTTAACTTTTTGTAATCGATGAGGATATATTGTAGTTGAAAAGGTTTGAGCAAAGACACTGTTGAGGTGAGGGGGCAAGGAGTTGACTTACTAAGCAATGGAATTAGTTGATTTGAAGGTTAATGTGAAAAGGTTTGAAACATTTAAGAAAAACATTATGTGTGCGTGTATGCATATATATGCACATATATATATGTACATATATATGTGCACATATATATGTGTACATATATATATAGATAGATAGATATCTATATATAGATAGGTTTGACTCGCTCCTGCATTGCATTTTTGTCATCTGTTAACCACCTCACAGGTCCTCTCTTTTGTCCAAAAAATAATTTTAAATTATTATTTTCTAAAAAATACCATAAAACAAAATATGTCATCCCATTTGTCTAGATTCTGCTTTAACATGCTTACTCTCCCCTGCAGCCTTGTGCCCAGATGCAGGTTGCTGACACACCTGACACCTCCAATATTACTTGGATCCATTTGCACACGTTCGATAACTGGGTTGTCGCCAGCATCGCCTCTCACCTCCTTTTTGCTTGTGCTGTGGATGCACAGGGCCTTGGAAGACAAAACCCAGCCCAGCAACTCCCAGCCTCTTGTGCCTGTGTCTTGGGCCAACTCAAGCAGCTCTTTCAAGCCCACCAAGGCATTTGTATCTGCAAGCTGAGAGAGAGAGAAACATGGGTTGCTGGCTTTCCTTGAGCATCTCACACAGTCAGAGACCCCCCCTAGCGGTGAAAGAAAGGCAACTTCTCCAACACACGTCTTCAGGGCATTAGCTGGCAACCAAAGCCCTGTGGACAAACCCTATAGGCCTTCTTATTCGCCCCCTTGGAACACAAACTCCACATGGACAGAGACACGCACACACGGCTTCCTGTTCTCTCCTCAATCCATCAAACTTGAACCATTTCATCTAACAGATCCTCATAACTGGTGGCATTTATTTCCACAAGCATGGTGGCACTGTGAACAACCCCACAAATGGCAAGGGTGGAATTCTTTTAGAACACAACAGAGCTCAACTATCTTTCATTACGAAACATCACTCCTCTAATGACTCCTGGGTACCCTTGTCTGCTTAGAATGGGAAGATATTTGCAGAAAGGGGTACTGTTTCTGGTTGTATATCCAATACAGTGGTAACTCGGGTTACAAACACTTCGGGTTACAAACTCTGCTAACCCGGAACTAGTACCTTGGGTTATGAACTTTGCACCAGGATGAGAATGGAAATCGCGCGGCAGCGGGAGGCCCCATTAGCGAAAGCACGCCTCAGGTTAAGAATGGTTTCAGGTTAAGAACAGACCTCCGGAACGAATTAAGTTCGTAACCAGAGGAACCACTGTAATAATAATAATAAAATTTATACTATACTATACTATACTATACTATACTATACTATACAGTGGTACCTCGGGTTAAGAACTTAATTCGTTCTGGAGGTCCGTTCTTAACCTGAAAGTGTTCTTAAAACTGAGGTACCACTTTAGCTAATGGGGCCTCCCGCTGCCGCCGTGCCGCCAGAGCACGATTTCTGTTCTCATCCTGAAGCAAAGTTCTTAACCTGAGGAACTATTTCTGGGTTAGCGGAGTCTGTAACCTGAAGCATTTGTAACCCGAGGTACCACTGTACTACAATGAAATGTTTAAATGTTTATTTGATTGTCCCACAACACTTGCCATTCTCTCCTGCCACTCCAGTGTGGCTTGCTACACCCTTTGAGAACCACTGCCCTTACCCATGAGGGATGTTGGGATTACTTTGGGTGGGAATTTACCAGGTGCTCAATAGAATCATAGAATTGTAGAGTTGGCAGGGACCCCCTGGGTCATCCAGTCCAACTAGATGCAGGAATCTCAAAGCCCCTTACAAGCAGAAAACCAGGCAAAACAACCTCCCATCCCCTACATCAATTCCAAGCTCGGGTAGGGAAGAAGCTTGTTTTTGAAATTCCTGCTCCCACCTCTGTAAGTTGGGGATGAGAACAGCTTGTTCCTGACCTTGAGCAGCATTTCAGAGGCAAAGTCAGGGACAAGACCCTCTCATGAGTTCCCTAGTTGAACTATGCGCTGTGTGAATAATAATAATTACTGATAGAATAATAGAATTGTAGGCATATAAAGGGTCATGTAGTCCAACCCCTGGCAATGCAGGAATTGCAGCAATCATCATCATCATCCCTGGTAGATGGCCATTCAATCTCTGTTTAAAAACTTCCAGTGAAGTAGAGCCCACCACCTACTCACCAAAGCCTCAAAATCCTTGGTCTCGTCCGTGGTATAGAGTCCTGGGAAGGGCCGAAGGACAGAATCCCGCTTGTAGCTCTGCAGGGCAGAGACGAAGAAGCTGCACCTCAGGTCTGCAGCCAAGAGGTCTGCCTTGAGGGCCTCTCGCACCCGCTCTCGGAGGCCCGCGACCCCGGCAGTGGGCACCTGCATTGCCAAGGGGCCCTCCTGCCATTAAAACACAGGCGGAAGTTATAAAAATCAAGAGTTGGGAGCGGCCTGGTTCACACAACACCATTAGCCAGGCTATAGCTTACTGGGACCAAGCTAATGTGCTGCCTCCTGGAGAGGCGTTCCCAGGCACTCTGCTCCCTCCTTCCCTCGTCTTTTGACTCTTGTGCTGCACCAAGCTAAGACAGTGTTTGGCACTTCAACCAAACCTAGACTCACAGGTCTTGGTTCAGATGACAAGCTCAGCATCGGGGTGGGGTGGGGGGAATAATGCCAGGGAGAAGCCAAGCAGCTAAGCGCTCCTCTCTGGGAACCCACACATTTGCATAGTCCTCAGAAGCCCCGTTTGGCTTACCATGTCATGCAAACCAGGCCATAAGGTCTCCAGCAAACATCCCCACAAGCAAACAGACGTTTCCCGGGGAACAGCGATCCTACTCTTCCCAGACGCTGAGTTGAAAGAACAACAAAAAAGAGATGATAAAAACACATTCTGCAGCATTCAGAATTAAAGTTACCCTCACTGGGGCCACCCGAGGCTACGCTTCTACCCTTTAAACCGTCACATGGCAGCCAGGCATTCAACAGGTGAGACTTTGCGCAGCTGTATCATTGCACCTTCCAGCTTGGAAAACCCACCCCACCCCACCGACCCAAATATGGCAGACTGCAAGTATTTTGAGGGGTGGGGAAACACAAATCAAAAGATACAACTGCCTAGCAAGCAAGTGTTTTAGCAGCTCTGTGACGGGCTGAAGCCCAACAGGTCTGTTTTTATCGTTTGCATCCAAGTTTCACCTGTTGAACTTCTGCCTGTAAGGCAGCTGTTAAACGGGCAGGACCCCACGCTGCCAAAAAAGCGTCTTCCCCTTTCTCCTTGACATTTTTTTGTGTGTGTGGTCTTTATTCTTCCCCTCGCCCTCCGGCCTACCTCAGGGGCTACTCAGCAAAAGGCGACTCTCACTGAGGTGGAAGAAGAGAAGAGGCCCTCCCAATTCCTACTGAACATGCTCAGCTCAGCTCAGCCATGCGCAGTAGCAGGAGCTGAAGCCGCAGGTCTGCCAGCAGTTGATTATGAGCGTGCGCAGTGGCAGGAGCTGAGCCGCCTCCCTTACCCTTACCCTTACCATGCCTTTGCTTACTACGTCATCCTGAGCATGCTCACTAGAAGCACCTGCCCGCCTTTGTTCTTAGACAGGCTCAGTAGCAAATGAAGCCACACTTTGCCCTTACCTGATTTTAAGCATGCTCAGTATAAACAATGAAGCTCAACCCCTTGCCCTGGTCCTGCCCTCATCCAATCCTGAGCATGCTCAGTAGCAGTAAGTGAAGCTTCAGCCTTGACCTTTCTTTCACGTGGAGAGTGTTCAGTTAACTGGCGCGTACAATCCTGCCCAGGTCAATTCAGAAGTAAGCCTTCAGCATCAATTTATGTTCCCAGGCTGTCTAAAAATCAGTAAAAAGCAGGGGCAGCAGCAACCACTAGCAGTCTTATACTTCGTCAGTTTCTCTCTAACCGCCTTTTAAAGCCATCCAACTTAATGGTCATTATTGCATCTTGTGGTGCCAAGTCCATAGTTTAACTAAGGTCTGCCCTTTGTCTGTTCTGCATCTTCCAACATTCAGCTTCAGTGGATGGCCCTAAATTCAAGTGTTATGAGAGAGAGAGAAACGTCCTCCATCCTCTTACTTCATGCCATGCATGGGGTGGGCAAAACTGATGTATCTGGTCAGTTGGTTAAGTATTTCTATTGTTTAACTTGATCTGGGTGGGCAGCTCCTGTCCGCGCCCCTTGGCTACACCCATGCATGCATAATTCATACCCTCCAACATTTCTCCGATGAAAATAAGGACATCCCATTCCATAACAATAATTTTACTATTTATACCCCACACATCTTACTGGGTTGCCCCAGCCACTCTATATATAAAAACACAATAAATATATAAAAACACAATAAAACATTGAACATTTTTTTAAAAAACAAACAAAACCCTTTCCTATGCAGGATTGCCTTCAGACAGCTCTGGAGTCAAATAAATACATACACTCCAACATTTCTCCAATGAAAATAGGGACATTCTACCATACCCTCTAACATTTTTCTGATGAAAATAGGGACGTCCTAAGGAAAAGTGGGACATTTGGGGATCAAATCAGAAACCGGGACGGCTTCTCTAAATCAGGGTTGTCCTTGGAAAATAGGGACACTTGGAGGGTCTGATAATTTTATACTCCTCTTATCATGTTCCCCAGTTGCTCACCTTTTTTCTAAACTAAAAAGTCCCTGTATGTTGTAACCTTTGATCATTACAGGAGCTGCTTCAGCCAGTTATTAAAAGTCTGACTCTATCTGACTCCTAGCGGTGAATATTTGACCAAATTTGGCAGCTGACATGCAGCAGCAGTTAACATTTGACCGGATCAGCCACGCAAGCAAGCAATACTTGATAGTATTTGACAGAAGAGTAGGCGGTCAGTGTTTTCCCATGGATTTGCAATACAGTGGTACCTCAGGTTACAGACACGTCAGGTTACAGACGCTTCAGGTTACAGACTCCGCTAACCCAGAAATAGTACCTCGGGTTAAGAACTTTGCTTCAGGATGAGAATAGAAATCGTGTGGCGGCAGCAGGAGGCCCCATTAGCTAAAGGGGTACCTCAGGTTAAGAACAGTTTCAGGTTAAGAACGGACCTCCGGAATGAATTAAGTTCTTAACCTGAGGTACCACTGTATAACGTCTACTCAGAAGCAGCTCAGTGGGAATAACTCACACCAGGTAAATGAAGTAAGATTGCAGCTATATAGCCCACAAGCATAATAACATGTTCTGATATATAGAATCCCAGAAGGACAGTGTGGCAAAAGATTTGCTGGAAGATTCAGGACAGAAAAGAAAGGTACTTCTTCAAGCTGTGCATGGTTCACCTTTGGAACTCACTCCCACAGGAGGCAATGATGGCCACCAAAATGGATGGCTTTAAAAGATCAGTTATTGGGCCGATCCAGCAGGCTCTTTTTATGTTCTCATCCTGGCAGCTAAGGTTTGTTAAGGGAGGGAGTAGCAAACTACAGTTTGCCAGATTGTGCTTTACATGTATGATGCAGGTTCAATGAGGCAGCTCCTGATATAGTAAGAACAAACTTGTGCGCTGTTTCTGCCTGTTGAGGGCAGCAGAGTCTCTTTGGAAGACAAACGGGTCCTGCCTTGTTAGAGGCAACTAATGAAATGGAAGGTGAAGGAAGAGTGTGGAGCATTCAGCTCTTGCCTTCATCTTTCCATAGCAGCGAGAAGGTTCTTTTCCTAGCTGACATCTATCCCCCCTCCACCCCCCGATTTCCCCTCCCCCAAATAGAGCAATGCAAGTTAATAAGGCAACAAGAGGCGGCATCTGGGACAAGTCAGTAATTTCAGCTAGCTAGTTGATGTGGTTCAGGTAACTTGCCCTCTAAAGGGCAAGAGTGAAGGGAGAGGGGCAGTTTTCACCGTGGGTGGGAAAGGAAAAAACAAAGGTTTTTGCAATGATATCAATCACACAAGTAAGCTCTGTGGTAAGAAGAAGGATCCAATCAAAGCTCTCTCTCTCTCTCTCTCTCTCTCTCTCTCTCTCTCTCCACACACACACACACACACACACACACACTTGAGTTTTCATTTTTCTACATTTGAAATTAAACTTTTTACAAACTTTAAACTATCCAATGGCTTTCCTTCTTCTCCTTCCATGGTTCATATTACATATCATAGTTTCCTGCATATTTTACTATAACCATTCAAATCAATTTTCCACTTTTACATCAATCAAATATTATTTACTCTCAATGCTGCCAGCGTTCTCAGTGGTGTACAATTATTTTCCATATATCCAATAAATATTTTCCACTCTTCTTTAATCCCCACACATTTTTCTAGGCCTTCTTGATAAGGTTTATCAGTGTAGCAGACATGGTGAGCTCCGTTTCGCATCCAGCAGCTTCGCAGATGATATCGTCTGCATGCGGGGATCAGATCTTCCTTCCAAGAAAAGCAAGCCAAGGGTTGGGGGCTTCCTAACCAAGACAGAATACCTAGAGCACAGCTGTAGCTCAACATCTGGAGGGTCGCAGGCTGCCCAGCCCAACTCAGTACAATGACTAAAATCTGATTGTGTGAACCGATTCCACAGAAAAGCATTAAATCTGAGGTGACTCCACAATCCCGGCTTATTTTCACAGAGAATTGGCTGCACCTAACTTTCACCAGATAGTGCCCCATTAACAATTTCTGGGCAACTGATTAGCATGTAACACGTAGCACATAGCCATTCATTCATGAAACCAAATTCCACTTTTCAGGGTCAAAAGAGTTTCTGTGGGAGAGATTCTGCAATGGAAATCCAATCCATCGCATTCAACTCTGAATGGCCAGTTTTGGAATCCAAGGCAATATGAAGGGTTTTGTTGTGTCGTGTTTGTTCAACTGTTTTTCTTTCCAACACTTTCATCTTATGCCGCCTTGTGAGGGTTTGTGCAAAAGGCAAAGAAGAAAGAATAATTTTATTTAATAACATTTTTAGATCTTATTGCAGTGAACCTCAAGTATGCAATAAAACCATCAATATAAACCACATTGACCGAAAGAAATATACTACTACTATGCCACTAAAACATTTTAAAAACCTAAAATTAAAATACAGTGTCATAAAATGCAGAAGGGTTAAGGTCTAGTGATCCAGGAATATATTGAATAACTAAGGCAGGCATTGAAAATATAGCTTAGTTTTCCATGATGGATGCATGGATTATCAAACCACCATACAGATATTATTCAATATTTCAATGGTATTTAGAGTACCAAGTGCATAACCTTCTCACCCCGATCCAAGAAGGAATATTCATGACAACCGAATTCAGTGCTGTTTTTTATTCTCTCTCTCCCTCACTGAATTATTTAACAGTGGTAATGAATAATGCAACTCAGTCTTAATCTTGGTAACTATCCTTATGTATGTTGGGCATCCCTCATTTCCTTTTGAGTTGTTGGGGAGAGAAGAGATCTGGGAAGGCAGTGGGATAGAGTGGCCTTTTCTCCATACTACATAGGCAGAACTGGGGGAGCTGACTGCCCTCTCTCCTATCAAGGCAGAGGAAATATAGAAGGAATTGCTTTGCACTGCAGGCGGAAAGAGTTTCTTGCAGAGAATCCTGAAGGGCAGTAGCCTGGAAGGTGAGAAGCCAAATGCAGAAAAATTATCCTTCCTTTTAGCACATATATATGCAATTGCAGCTGGCTGCCTCCCCGACCTGAGGCAATTGTCTCAATGCACCTCAGGATTGGGCTGGCCCAAACATCCCCCTCATTCTCAGTGGCATTTATGGCTTTTTCCCCAGCTGGAACTCGCTGGAACTCAGTTCCGGCGCGCGCGCACACACACACACAATATTTGGTTTTACATATTTAAAATTATAATCACACCGCAACATATCCACAGTTAAAATATCCCTCCAAATTTCTGGACTTCCCACCTTCTCCTCCATGAGTTCTATTGTTAAATCTTTTCTACTGCATCTTTTTTCAATAATCCAAGCTTTTTAAAAACTGCATTATGTCCATAGTTCTCATTACATTACAAGTGTTATTGCAGTCCTGCTAATGTTTTCAACTGCTTACAGTGGTCTTTAAGGTAAATTATATTTAAAAAATCCCATTCCTTATTAAAGTTTTATTCTTCCTGGTTCCTGAACTTTCCAGTCAGTTTTGCCATTTTGGCATAGTCCATCAACTTGATTTGCCACTCTTATCTGGTAGGGACTTTATCTTCCTTCCATCTCTGGGCTAACAACATCCGTGCAGCTGTCATCACATACATAAAAAGTATTTTCTGCTCCCTTGGAATTTCAGCACCTATACTTCCTAATAAAAAAAGCCTCTGGGTGTTTTTAAAAAAATAAAAGTTATTTTAAACATTTTTTCAATTCATTATATATCATTTCCCAGAATGCTTTTGATACTTTATGATAAAAGGAGCCTTTTTTTTCTTTACATTTCCAAAAGATATTTGAGTTCCGGCACCTCTGGTGCCATTGCCATTTGAAGAGAACAAGGGAGGTGTTTGGGCCGGCCCAACCAGAGGTGCATTGAGACAATTGCCTCAGGTCAGGGAGGCAGCCAGCGGCCATTGCACAGAGTCCTCTGCTCACTTGCCCCTCTGCCAGCCTTCGAAAGGGACCTTCTCCTGCTTCACTCTCAAAAAGGGTCATTAGAGCAAGGCATTCTGGGTGAGGTGGCTGGGAACAATGGAGGGAGGCTGGTCTGTGAGGGCAAATGGGGAAGGAGATGGGGGTTATGGATTTAATTATCGCCACCTTTCCCCTATAATTTGGGCGTTCTTTACCAATGCCCTGCTTGCGCTCTCTCTCTCTCTCTCTCTCTCTCTCTCTCTCTGTCAAATGATCCTGCCCTTTTGAGGGTCTTGCCTTGCTTCTGAAATAAAAGACCTTTCGTCAATGGCACCGTGAGAATGCTTATTTCAACACCATTTGAATTTTCAAAAAGAAAAACTTTGAAGAAGGCAGATGGAGCTGGCAGTGAGCAGAGACAACGAATGTTGATGCTGTGAATGTAATAGCAGAAGCTGGCCATGCCCTCTGCACCAGATCCACGTGGGTGTTCCCAGCATAAACGTTTCCAGATTGGGGATGTCACAGCAATGGAATGCAGGCAGCAATTCTCATTATAATGGTGTGGAATCTTCCCAGGGACGCCAAACTATTTGGGTAGCTGTTGCTGTCATTAGGCCTGCTACGGATTATGGGTGTGCAATAGCCTCCCTCCCTCCTCCTACCATTATACTTCTGGATGTAAAACTTTAATAGAGACTTACAGAAGAGCTCTGGAATTTGCAATGATAATTTGGGCATTGTCTTGGAGATGCAATTGAGCTAAACTGAATACGAACTGTACAAATGGGAAGTGGAGCCCATTCATATATTTCCAATTCACCAGGGACAGCCCCAGGGACACAGGATTTGGCCATGTTGTCTACTTTGACTGGCAGCGGGTCTTCAGGGTTCCATAAATGTGACTTTTTAGGTGCTTCCAGAAGATCATTTTATTGAGCATTTATCCCGATTAGTTTGCAGGCTGATTATACAAAGCTGGCTTTTTAACAAGCATTCTGATTTGCTTGCAAGGAGGCTAGATGGCGTTGCATCAAAGCAAGCATTATCCCACGTTTCCGAGCACTTTCCCCCCATCACTTTCCTTCTTGCAAAATGCCTGCTCTCTTGAGAAAATAGGTTTGTTGAATAAGACCTGCCAATCAACTATAATTGCATAACCTGGATCTGGTGATATGTGATTGGATCCCACCTGAAAATAGAGATAGTTCAGAAGGACCACTAGTTACCTCCTAGCAGAGGACTTTAGGAAACAAAGTAGGCTGGGAAGCGGAGTTTTTTTTTTGTGGGGGGGGGGATATTGAATCTCTTTGGACCCAAATGAGGGTTATTCATATTTTATTTACACTAAAGTGGGTGTTTTCATGCACAATTTACCCTAGTATCTGCATTTTTATATATGTTACTAGGCTGAAGAACTGCACTTTGAAATTCAGAGAAGTGTGAATTTAAAAGAATGACCGTGTTTCAGTTCACATATTGTTTTTGATAGTGCAAATTAGGTAGGTAGGTTCACCTTTAATTAAGAAATGAATTAGAAGAAAGCCTATATCTAAGTATGCTGTACTTTCCTCCTTGGGGTTCTCTTCTGACTTGGTTCAGATGAGCTGGCTTTGTTTCCCCAAGGTCATTTCAATGTCAGGGGAGCAGCCCCTCCTCCTCCTCCTCCTCCTCAGCTGAAGGGAAAGGTATTGATCACGGATGATGAATGATTCACGCTCCCTGAAGTAAGAATCCGTAGTTAATGGGTGAACCATGTGAGCATGTCTGAACCCTTCGTTGATGTGCTCTTCGGTGTTTAATTTTCCAACCATCACTTGTTGCAAAGCTCAGCTCATTGTCTTGCAATTTCTTTTTTATTTAAAGCCTTAATGTTAGTATGACATTAATTGTTGTTGTTTTCTAGTCAAGGGATATCCTGCTTTCTCCCTCTGCAAAGGAGTTGCTCAGAGTGGCTTATAAACAGAAAAGGAAGCCCAAGAAAGCAACAGTGACTCAACAAATGACTGAAAATGAAAAACAGCAGTGAAAATTGAAAACACAAAGAGCAGGGAACAGCAATCAATACATGAAGCAGCAACAGAATTAAAAGCTTGTTTTGTTGTTGTTTTAAATGTCAATTACAGGCAGAAAACAGATTAAAAGGAAAGTGACCTAAGGAAGTTAGATTAGCCTCAACCAGAGCCAGGGCCTTCTCAGCACTGGCTCCGGCCTGGTGGAATGCTCTGTCTCATGAGACCAGGGCCCTGAGGGATCTGATTTCTTTCCGCAGGGCCTGTAAGACAGAGTTGTTCCACCTGGCCTTTGGCTCAGAATCAGTTTGATTCCCTCCCCCTCTTTCTTTTTCCTTTCTCCTCCTGTGAAGAGGCTGCATCCTAATGTTTTAATGTTGTATTTTAATCTTGTTTTTTAAATTGTATTTTAATCAACTTGTTTTTATTATTGCTTGTTAGCCGCCCTGAGCCCGGTCTTGGCTGGGGAGGGCGGGGTATAAATAAAATTTATTATGATTATTTATTATTAACCTCTCAGGGCAGGGAGTTCCACAAATCAGAAGCCACCACAGAAAAATCCTCTCACATTTTGCCACCAATCTCACCACAGAAGGCAATGGCACCAGTACAGCAGCTGGTCTTAAAAGGAGATGGTCTTTCATGTGGCTCCATCCCAAGATCTTTAGAGCACTATAGACAAAAACAGTACCTTGAATTGCACTTGAAAATGAACTGTCAGCCAGTGCAGCTGATACAAAGAAGATCACTTGATCAAAGGAATGTAGGAAGCTGGTCCATCTAGCTCACGATGGTCAATACTATCTGGCAGCGACTCTCTAGAGTTTCAGAAATGGGATAGCCCTATCTGGAGATCCCAGGGGTTAAATCTGGGACCTTCTGCACACAAAGCAAATGCTCTACCACTGAGCTACTGCCTGTCCCCAAGCGCTTGCCCCATCAAGATTTTAGTGACAGCTTTATGCACCAGTTGAAGTGTCTGAGTTGTTTTCAAGGGCAGGTGTGTGAAGAGTGCATTGCAGTACAGTGGTACCTCGGGTTACATACGCTTCAGGTTACACACTCCACTAAGCCAGAAATAGTGCTTCAGGTTAAGAACTTTGCTTCAGGATAAGAACAGAAATTGGGCTACGGCGGCGCGGCGGCAGTGGGAGGCCCCATTAGCTAAAGTGGTGCTTCAGGTTAAGAACAGTTTCAGGTTAAGTACGGACCTCCGGAACGAATTAAGTACTTAACCCGAGGTACCACTGTAGTCCAGTTGAGATAGAAATAATGCATTCAGGACCATGGTCAGCTCTAACACTACCAGGAAGAGGTGCCACTGGTGCTCCAGGCCACAGACAACATCTGAGCATCTGGCAACAATTCTTGGTCCAGTTGTACTCCCAAGCCACAAACCTGATCTCCTAGAGACAAGCTGATATCCTATTCCTTAACCAGCAAGCTTCATGCTAGCATTTCTGCCTTGTCTGGATTTAATTTCAGTTTTGCTTACCCTCATTCAGCTCATCACTGACTCCACTGACTCCATGGATGAAGCTTTCAATTTCAGTTTCTCTCGTTTTCCCAATGTTAAGTTCAATTCTCCACATCCTCACATTGGTTTTTTATTGGTTTGTTTATCTTAAAAGTCTCCATGCAAATTTGGAGAGCCAGTGTGGTGTAGTGGTTAGGAGCGATAGACTCGTAATCTGGGGAACCGGGTTCGCGTCTCCGCTCCTCCACATGCAGTTGCTGGGTGACCTTGGGCTAGTCACACTTCTCTGAAGTCTCTCAGCCCCACTCACCTCACAGAGTGTTTGTTGTGGGGGAGGAAGGGAAAGGAGAATGTTAGCTGCTTTGAGACTCCTTAAAGGGAGTGAAAGGCAGGATATCAAATCCAAACTCCTCCTCTTCTTCTTCTTCTTCTTCTTCTTCTTCTTCTTCTTCGCATTTAATGCCTTTTTTTCAGTCAGACCCCCCCCCCATGGAAAAGCTGTTGTTTGATTCCGCTCTTTTGACTAATGATTGGCAGGTGTCCAACATTGCATTTTGGGGCAATTTGTGCTGACCAAACTCCCAAGAATTCCTAAATGAAACTGATAGTCTGGATCCATTTCAGTCTGGATTCAGGTCTCGTTGGGGGATGGAAATGGCCTCGATTGCCCTGATTGGTACCTCCTCTGGGAGCTGGACAGTGGAAATGTGTCGCTGTTGATGCCATTGGATTTCTCAATGACTTTCAATACACTTCTTTCAATTACATTGCAGTACATTTCATTGCATTTCTTCTAAGCCTCCTTGCACTGGTGATCTTGGAAGGAGGTGGCCATTTCTCAGTGGTGCTGGTCCTTCATTACAGATCAGTATCAGAAGGCAGTTTAGGAGAGGCTCACTTGGACTTTCCCCCTATGGGTTTCCATATATTTTATTTTGGTCCCCCTTGCTTTTCAACATCTGCAGCGAATCCCCCTAAGACAGATGACACCCAGCACTTAGGAGTGGGAAATGATTTAGGCTTGACCATTAGCAGGAAAGTCATGTGCAGAAAATGGATTAATGGGAAGAAGAAGAAAAACCAGCCGCTTTCCATTAGAATTAGGCCAGGTCAGATGGGGTTAAAACTGGGTAAATGAAGCAGGAAACAGTGCAGCGTGTTACTGAGCAAAGACGATCAAATGCCTTGACATCTGTAACTTTCCCCTCAGTGCCCTGACATGCTAAGAGAAAGCCTCTGAAGTAGGCAAACCCCACACCCTCAGAAATATGGTTTCGGTCTATATTTTTTTATTAGATTTTAGGGAGGTTGTGGCACAGCCTTTCTAAGACCAGGCTGGGGGAAGGCTGGTCCATGGCAGCTAGTAAACTAGCCTAGCATTCCCCAGACTGGTGTTCTCCAAATGATAAGGGGGAAAGCTCCGTAGCAAACTACAGTGGTACCTTGGTTCTCAAACGCCTTGGTACTCAAACAACTTGGAACCCAAACACTGCAAACCGGGAAGTTAGTGTTCCGGTTTGCGAACTTTTTTTGGAAGCCAAACATGCTCCGTTTTGAGTGTTACACTTCCGATTTGAGTGCCACACTTCTGTTTTGAGTGTTACGCTGAGGTCTGTCTGGTTTTGCTATTTATTTTTTGTTTTCGTTTTTGCGGCTCTGTTTTGTTTCGTTTTTGTGACTGTGTGGAACTCAGTTCAGCTACTGATTGATTGATTGTGTGACTGCAGTACATTGTTTATTGCTTTCATTTTATGGATCAATGGTCTTGTTAGATAGCAAAATTCATATTAAATTGCTGTTTTGGGGGTTGTTTTCAAAAGTCTGGAACGGATTAATCCATTTTGCATTACTTTCTATGGAAGAGCGCATCTTGGTTTTGGAACGCTTTGGTTTTGGAATGGACTTCCAGAGCAGATTAATTTTGAGAACCAAGGTACCATTGTACACAGTTTGCATGGGAAAAAATTCCAGGTTTAATCCATGATATCTGCAAGCAGGACTGAAGAAGCCTGAAAACCCAGAGAACCCCTGCCATGCCTTGCAGGCTACACTAGGCTAGATGCACCAGTAATCTTGACACAGGGCAGATGTGCACCATCCCTCTAACACACATCCAGTGCACATTTAAAGTGCATGGCTTCCTCCCAACATCCTGGGAACTGCTGTTTACCCCCACCCCCCTTATGAAGCGACAACCCCCATCACCCTTCACAAACTACAGTTCCCAGTATTCTCTGGGGGAAGTCAGGGGCATTAAATGTGTGTTGGATGTGCTTTAGAGGTATAATGCATGGGTAGGCAAACTAAGACCCGGGGGCCAGATCCAGCCCAATCACCTTCTAAATTCAGCCCGCAGACGCTCTGGGAACCAGCATGTTTTTACACGAGTAGAATGTGTGCTTTTATTTAAAATGCATCTCTGGGTTATTTGAGGGGCATAGGAAATCATTCATTCTTCTTCTTTTTCAAAATGTAGTCCGGCCCCCACAAGGTCTGAGGGACAGTGGACCGGCCCCCTGCTGAAAAAGTTTGCTGACCCCTGGTATAAAGCATCTACGATGACTAAGGTAGCTTCCCCAGGGTATCGCTGTGTTTTGGACAACAACTCACAGCAGCCCCAGTTGGCTTGTGCCTAAGATTTCAGATTAAAACTGCCAGTGCTGGAAGGAAAGGAGGACCTTTTTATGCCTCCCCATTTCTAGCCACTCTCTGAAGACTGGAGAAGCGACCCCCATAAGAATATTAGGAGGGGGCAGGCAGGGAGAGTATGGCTTTGTCTTAAGATGAGGACTAGACCATGTGAAAAATAAACATAAGGTTTTAGCTGCAGCTCATTCATTTTCAGCTTTGTATTCTTGTATTAAAAAAAAAGTGTGTCTACTCTAGGTCTAAGGTGCCATTTAGCTCCTAACTTTCATATCTCTGTTTCTAACACTGCCTGGGACTGATGGGAGTTGTAGTCCAAAACATGTGAAGGGCACCAAGTTGGGGAAAGCTGGGCTGATGCTTTTGGCCACTGATCCTTGATAGCCATTTTGCTATAAGGCATTTTGCTTTAACGGCTCACCTGACGGATGAGCTCAGTCCTGAATTCTGTTCAGGCACATTTTTTTCCAGCAGCAGCTGGAATTAAATCTATCTGTGAACATTCAGGAACATGCAAGAGAGAGATAGAGAGTGTAATGATGACTCCGTTAAATTGCAACGCTCATAACCTGTTTTGAATAAGAACCACTGTTGGCGTAATTTGGAAATGGACCGAGTCTCCATACATCTTCATCTCCCGTGCTTAATAATAATACCCGCCAGGTTCATGGCCTCTGAATCTATAGCCCAGCTGTAATAGTATGTTGCATATTAATGGGACATGTTTGAAAGTGCTTTCAGATTATTAGAATTCATACAAGTGATTTATGGAGGGGAGGGGGGCTTAAAACAGCTGGCTGCCAATATAAATGGGCTTAGGGAAAGTCGAGTGTAATATTTGCAGGTCCGAATAATGACAGCCCTCTCCCCCACCCCCCAATACATCCAAAAGGCCTAGAAGCAGAAAATAATTTCCTGGCTCAAAAGATAAAGCAAAGGCTTTGGGGCCGAGGTGGTGAACCCAGCCTGTGAAGAATTCGTGCTATTCTCAATTAAATGTCAGGAGCTGCTTCTCTCGATTTAAAAACTGGTGGATTAAGATACCATAGCTTTATATTTATAGCCCAATAAACAGCACAGCCTTTCTTTTGCTGATCCTGGCCAGTGGCAAAGCAAGATTCAGGGGAGTGCAACTGGTTCTGTCACAGAGTCTTGAGGGCACCATAGCGGGTGTCACAACCATTATTTAGAATGGAGCACAAGAGGCGGGGGGGGGGGTTGACTTCACACAGGGTGACACTGAAATTGGAGACCCCAAGGTCCCCCGCTGCCAGTGGGCCTGAACTGCCTTCACCGGTAGCCTGAGAAGCAGAATCAGCTGGCGATGGTTTGCCTAAGGTAAAAATAAATGCAAATTTGGGGGCCATCAGGAGCCAGGCTCATGAATTGCACATGGCCCAGCTCTGCCAGTGGGCGGAGGGGAGCAACTGCCTCAGGTGGAAGATACTGTTGGTGCTGACCTTTAAAGCCCTAAATGGCCTCGGTCCAGTATATCTGAAGGAGCGTCTCCACCCCCATCATTCTGCCCGGACACTGAGGTCCAGCGCTGAGGGCCTTCTGCAAGAAGCCAAGTTACAGGGAACCAGGCAGAGGGCCTTCTCGGTAGTGGCGCCTGCCCTGTGGAACACACTCCCACCAGATGTCAAAGAGAACAACAACTACCAGACATTTAGAAGACATCTGAAGGCAGCCCTGCTTAGGGAAGCTTTTAATGTTTGTTGTTTTATTGTGTTTTTAATATTCTGTTGGGAGCTGCCCAGAGTGCCTGGGGAAACCTAGCCAGATGGGTGGGGCA